GCTCCCTTGCTGCCAGATTTTCACTGATTTTTTTTCACGAGATCTTAGTTTTTCACGGTGTTCGTTGTGTCTCAGATTCCACTTCAGGTGCCGGATTCACCAACAGGTGGAGATCAGGTGAGAGGTTTGTTTTGGTGCTGGGTGCTGCGGGGTGGGGAGGGTGCTGCTGGGTGGGGGGTGCTGTACAGGTGACTGTGGACTTCACGAGCAGGTAGACCTATAGGACAGCATGAACCACGTCTCAGCCAATCACCGCCCAGAGTGCAGGTCCGGTGATTCTGCAGTGGTTTGACTCATAATGAGAGAGCTGAGCTCTGAGCACCTCAAAGTGTCTGCTGAGGCACCTCGGACCTGCACCTGACCTGTTTCTTCTCCGCTAACTTCACTTTTTAACTCATCTTTCTTTGCATAAATAAGTCAAAGAGAGTTTGAAGATGTTTTCCCGCTCGCTGTCTCTTCTCGCGCTACTTTGTGGTGCGCTCGCGTCTGTTTCGGGGTCTCCCGCCGTGGAGGAGGCTTACGAGGCCGTGGTGAGCGTCGTGTCTCCGGGACAGCAGCATCTGACCGGGGACTCCCTCCGGACGCTCTTTAATACACTGGAGCACCGTGTGCAGTGCGGCGACGTGCCGTGTGGAAAGGTGAGTTTTATGAGGCTCGGACCGCGGCAGCAGATATTAGTGCACCTGTACGGAGGAGGGCGAGGTCCAAAAGATAGCAGCCGCTCTGCCCGCCAGGCCTGATAAACCAGAGGGAAGATTAAAGCTGCTTTTAAATGTAAATTAATTAGAATATTACTCAAAAATGTTCTTACATCATGTTAAATTTTCCTTTGGATGAGTGAAGAATGTAAAACCTTCCTCCCGGTGCTGATGTCAGCAGACTGGGCTTCAGGAAAAACAGGCAAATTACATTTTTTCACAAGTTCATTATGGATTCATACTTTAGATTGTTTAATATAATATAAATGAAACATTCTCTGTCGTTTTCTGCATCCAGACAAGTTTTCTTCTCCCTAAAGTCGCTGCACCTGAAGTATCCTGTAATAATGTCACCCAATGAAACTTTAATTTTAAATATAGACATCTGTTCTGTTTGAGTTTAGTTTGGTCTCTGCAAAACCAACAAAATAGAAGGAACAAAAGGAAAAAGTATCCCTTTTCTAACAGTTTTAGTCCCTGATTTAAATTTCCAAATGTATTTCTAATATATATCTGGTATATGCTGTCCTATTGCAGTTATTTAATTAGAAAATCGAGCTTTTTAATGAAGTAATCAGGTTATTTTTTGACAAAATGGGATTTCAAAAGCCTCAAATAGGCTTCTTTGTTAAATGTAAGCACCGCGAGTAAAGGCCGTCTACTGTCAATACAAGAAGCAGCTCTATCTGCTTCATTTAATAATATTTATTGACTAAAACCTTATATAATAATAATAATATAATATACCTTTATGCAGTGGCAACCTATGATTGTTTTCGTTGTCAATTCATCTGCCGTATATTTCCTCAACTACTTATTTGTTTAGTCCATAAAATATCAGAAAATAGGGAAAAATGTTGATCAGTGTTTCCCAAAACCCAAAAACGACAAACGTCTTGTTTTGTCCTCAACCCAAAGATATTTAGTTCCCTAGAGAAGAAAAGAAACCAGCGAAAGTAAAACTTGAAGAAACTGGAATCAGGGAACTTCCATAGAAATGACTCATGGCGATGAATCAGTTTGGAAAATTACTAGACAGTTAAGAAAAATGACAAAACTGCTGTTAGGGTATTCTAATAATTGTCTTTACAGTAAGTTTAGAGCCTGGATACTGTATCTGGACTTTTTTAATATCTTAAGAGTCAAGATTTCTGATTTTCTTTCTGCTGGTTTTAGTCCCTTATTTAGATTTTCTGATTATCTAAAGCTTCAGGATGATGACTGGCCAGATCTACACAAATATTTAATTAAAAAGTCGAGTTTTTTGGTAACTACATCAGAGCAAATGTTTGACAAAATGCTATCTCAAAGCTTGTAAAGTTATCAAATAGGGTTTTCTATACGTCAGAACTCATAGGAAAAGCAGGTCAAGGTCTTTAAGTCTCAAAACTTGAAACAAAAACCAGCCCTGTATTTCTCTTTTGGAGACGTTTAGTGACTGAAATAAACACTCTACAACAAATCCAGTGTATGATACAGTTAATGTGGTAGAACTAGCCTGTGCTTATAATACAAAATGTGCTGTTTCCTCAAGATTTTCCAGGACAAAAGTGCTTTATCAGTGAGTGAGAGCAAAGTTCTGGAATGTCCAACATGTCAGCTGTAAACTCCATGAATGCGCAGTGCATGATTGATACAAATCTCAAACAGCTGAACATGGACAAAGATGAAGAGATTTAAAAAAAAAACTGTTAAACTGTGCATTGCTTTGGTGACACTTATCGCAGCTTAATACAATTTAAAACGTGTTAGTAATAATGATAAAGCCTGTCTAGAGGCTCCATATATTAATAAAAAATCATTTAACCTACAGAGTCGAGTCTATAAAGTCACGTCAGATGTAAAGACGTCCTTGTGACCCAATCGATATTACAGCCACAGCATTTTGATTCTTGTTTTGACAGTTTAAAGGGTTAATTCACCCAAACTACAAAAGCCGTGCTAGTATGTAGACGTCTGAGTTGGTTGGTTTTAATGTGCTTGGCTTCCTGGCTTCTATCATTCCAACACGATATAGGTGAATGAAATTAAATCTGTGGTCCTCTAAATATAGATGTTTTTTGTTTTTTTTTCCAGAAAAAGACCAGAGCAACTGTTATGTTCTGTTTTATTGACAATAAACCAAATTATCGTTCATATTTGCTGGGTTTAGGGTAAATATAATACAAAAATAAAAGTATTTATATGGCTAAATAGAATACGGATAAGTAAAAGAATACGTTTTTGTCTTTTTGGTGAAACAAACTTTAACATAATCCTTTTTATAATCCTTTATTCTCCTCTTTCATCAATGGTACAGTTTGTGAGTCAGCATAGATGGTTGTCAGTATTTTATGTTGCTTTGTTCGATTTGTTTTATCACCTGTTTTTCATGCTCTTTATCTAAAGAAAAAACAAATTCAAAAACAAGAAAAGAGCGGATATTAATTACAGTATAGATTACATTATAGGTTGCTATTATTTTTGTGTAACGCTAATTGAAGAGGTTTGATTTCTTTCACTGTTTCTACATGTGTTGTTCCATGTAAATGACTTGAAATGACAGCAGCTTTCTATTGTACTAACTCCCCATCTGTTTGTTTCTCTGTTTGAATGTAGTGTGATCTACTCAATGCTGTCGACCAGCTCATCGGCAACCACTCCGCCCACGAGGCGGAGAAGGTCGGAGAAAACGAGACCATCACTGTGTCTCAGTTCACTCGTCTTGCCTCCGGCTCTGTCCTGTACCTGACTGCCCCCGGCCCGGTCTGCACTGCCGTCAGCCAGGGGAGGTGGGACGAGGAGACTGAACACTTCCTGCACAAAATCACAGTTCACGACCACGACCATCACAAGGCAGGGCCGCACCGCGCACACACTCACATGGACAGTCACGGGGTGGAGGCTGTGATTTTAGAGCTTCGCAGGCACTATAAGCCCACAGACACGGAGGTAAGCAGGAGAACCCTTAATTGTTGGTATGTTAAAGCCAAACTGAAAAGCATTTGTTCAATGATGTCCAAATCTATTGCTTACAAGAGAGTTTGACTCCACCAGTCCCCTGAAATTACTCAAATCTGTGATTAAAAAAAGGTGTGTTTGGCTTCAAAAGGTCACACGAACTTATTAAACAGATTATACAACAGGGCGTCATGCTTGCTAATGGATTTTTTTTACCACCCAGGGTTCCAGCATGTGATATTTCATTCCTTCGTTCAGTGTTTATTATGCTGTTGTGGCAGTATTTTTGACTTATCATGACTTATCGCGTATCGATACCAGCGATAAACCTGCTCGGTTTCGCCCTGGATGCAGCCACATCGCAGCACGACTTGATCATGATGGAAAGTGCCCTTTGTGTCAGTTTATTGTCATTCAAAGGGCATTTGAGAAAGGTCCGCTGGGCCTTTTTCCAATTTGTTGCTTACGATGAAGTCTGCTTCTGATATTTACAAACGTTTATCTTTTTTTTACTGTATATTTCTCCTTTTTCAAAAATCTTATTTATCACTGATATTGTGCTGCAGCCGCTTCTTGCCATTTTGTTTTATATTTTAAGTGTCTTTTATCGGTTTTAACACTGTGTGGCAAAGAAAGCTTTTACAAATGTGGGCAATAATGTCCCCTAAATAACAAATTTACTGAAGCAAACTTCATACAATACTGCCAAAAAATAAAAAAGTGGAATCATAACAACAATACACATGGTTAATGGTCACGTGGTCAATAGTGCATTTCAGGAAAAGTAGTTACCGGGACAACTAGTACGATTAAAAAAGAAAGACGTGTGTGAAAAATCTCATTCAGATTCACCAACCGTTTATTCCTGCTTCGTGAAGCATCCCTTCACTGCCACTTCAGGCCTGTTGTTCAAACAAGGCTCTGCTACAGACTCTAAAACTTTGTTCTAACGGTCATTTTTTCCTCCTTATCACCATGGCAACCAGAGCTGTGTCACTACCAGCGACATCATGGCAGACGTCAACGCGACGGCGACAGGGCAGGAACAGGAAGTGGGTGCCGTTCTGGGCCGCGTCCTGTACTACGCCCTGCAAGGTCGATGCTTCGCCGCCGAGTCGCTGCCGGAGGAGAGCTTCTTCCTCGACTACATCATGCACCAGCTGGGCTCGCACAACTTCACCGTGGAGGGTAAATGTTCTGCACTAAAACACACACACACAAAAAACACTCATTTAACTATAACTGCAAAAAGACTGATAACCCAGGCTCTTTGAACCACTTAGAAACTAAAGTTGCAGGGTGAGTCTTTTCTTTATACCGCTGTAGAAGTTTCTGTATGAAGTGAATCCAGAAAACGATTTTAGAGTTTATTGCAGCTTTATCACAAGGCCCGAGCCTCATAAACATAGCATGACTTTACAGGTTTTGTCTCTCCTGTGTTGTGGCCTGTCTTACTGGATTTTTCAAACTGCATATGAGCATTTTGTTCAATAACAAGGCATCAAAGAATTCACAGAATTATCTGTATGGGCATGTCTTGGTTTCTTCCTCCCTGAAACTGTGCTCTATAAGAGAAACAAAACAAGAGCTCCCTGCATACCAAGGCAGCAAGGTCAAGCTGGCCTGCAGGCACAAACGAACAGTGAATGAGAGACAAAGCGCCGCTCGAAACAGCACAAAGTTAATAAATAACATATATATACAGGAATAAAATCAGTATTAAATCTGAATACAGTCGTAGTTATGTTGAATTTTCATAAATGTTTGAGTCTTTACGGATTCATTTTGTGTTTTTCAGCTCTTGGTTGCTTCTTTCTAGTCACATAACGTTATTCATATTCTCAACTCTTGCTATTGGGAACCATTTAAATCCTGGATTATATGTGTATTTGTGTAGGTTTGGCGGTTTTTATGAAGAGCTTGAACATTGGACCTGACACAGACCACGACGAGGATCATGGACACGTCCACAGTGTAGATGAACACGTCCATAATGACCACAGTGGTCAAAGACTGAGGAAAAGGAGCCGCAGTGGACTCCATGAGAAGCACGAGACAAACACCACCTGGGACCATGTACGTTAGCAACAACAGAATCCAAACTCTGCGGTGGTTCTGATGCCTGAGTTTGCTTCAGCACCGCCATCGTTGCTTTAATGTTTTGTTCTCTCATCTCCCAGCACTGTTTCTCAGCTGAAGACCTGGTCCTGATCTACAGCCTGCCAGAAAACAGCTCCGCCTCCAGTCTGGGTCCGTCTGACATGGCTCGGCTCAGTCCTGCGCTGGTGCAGCAGATCCTGAGTGGAGCCTGTACAGGAACCATGGAACCAGTGGCACCAGATGGACTCACCAAGACCGAGAGTAAGTGTGTTGTGGACTGGAGCCACAAAAGACCAAGTTGTTAGAGTTCCTCTGTGTTGCAGGGGTAGCTGGTTTTGAACCTTTGAACTCTGATTCGTAACTAGTGATTTTGTGTTGTCAGGACGTCTGGATGTTTCAAGCTGACCACCTTCTCCTCTTTCTCTCTCCTCCTCATGCAGGATACCTCTATGCCACTGCCGCCAACTTAGTGATAACGCTGGCGGCCATGCTTGGTATCGTGATGCTGCTGTGTACTTCCTGTACGTACATCTTCCAGCTGTCCATCCAGTTCTGCATCAGCATGGCTGTAGGTTCACTGACCGGAGACGCCTTGCTGCACCTGCTACCCATGGTGAGGGATCATAACACTTTTAGAGCTGCTTTTTGTTCTGTCTAATTGAACTACCTCAGTCAGTATTCCCTCAAAGTGGTAGCTCTGGTTTGGTAAAGACGACCAGGGCGCAATCTTGTCGATTCCTCTGCAGCATTTACTCATTCTGACTTCCTCTTGCGGCCTAGTTTCTGGGTTTACACGTGCATGGAGCCGGTGAAGACCATTCAAGTCACAGTCACGGCGAAGGAGTTCCTGACTACTTATACAAGATGTTGGTGCTGATTGCAGGGATCTACTACTTTTACCTCATGGAAACAATCTTCTCTCTGATCACACACAAAAATAAGAAGCGCCACCATGAGCTACAGCATGGGGTAAGACAGACAGAAATACAAGGCTTCCACACCAGTCTTGACTATTTAATTTTCCTGAAAAAGCAGTTTTCGAATACTTTAAGTCTAGTTTAAAGCATTTAATTTATTTTCTCCTAAATGTCCACTTTTTTCACTCTCATTCAGAAATTATTTGTGCGTCTAAGTGAATTTGACAGACGTATCCCTTTAAAACTCACTGTTCTGTTTTTTTTTTTTAAGTTTTTTTTCAAGAAACTCGTCTCAACCTTCAGGCAAAGCTCATGAACTGTCTTGCATCTCTCTCCTTATAGGAAGATGCGGAGCCTCACCACTGTGACCACGGGAGGGTTTTAGAGATGTATCAGCAGGAAAGGAAAAGTAAAAGCAAAGTGCAGTCGGCATCAAAAGCAAACCTGGTAAGAAAACAGAGAGTGAACACATATTCAGCACCTTAGGATAGTAAAAATAAGGATAAGATTATAGAACTGACTGAAAATTGAAAGTGTTTGAGAAGACTTCAGTTAGGACTTTTTAGGTTGTAAATGTGTAGAAAACACACCTAAAGCCAAAAACATGTCTTGTTACTGATTGTTTTGTACGTCTACTTTTCAGGTTGGCCTTGAAGACAATGAGAAATCGCTCTCCGAGACAAAAAAGCGCAGCAGAGGTGAGTGAAGTTACCTCCAACACAAAAACAAGCATGAGATCATCAGACTGGGATAATTGTAGTGAATTACTGCGGCACAGGCTACAACTTTGTCTCCGTCTGCGTCTACAGAACAGCGTCTGCTGCCTTATCTGATCACTGTTGGTGATGGGCTACACAACTTTGCGGACGGACTGGCGATAGGTGCAGCTTTCTCCATGTCATGGAGGTCTGGCCTGGCCACGTCACTGGCTGTGCTCTGCCACGAGCTCCCGCATGAACTCGGTAAAGATCAAATACACAACATCTATTTTGGTCACGTTTCATTGAAGGCTCCCTAACGTCACCCCATTGCTCTCGTTTCTCCCCAGGCGACTTTGCCATTATGCTCCACTGCGGTGTGTCGGTCCGCAAGGCGTTGCTTTTGAATGTTGGAAGCGCCATGACCTCGTTCGTCGGCCTGTACATCGCCCTGTCTGTAGCCACCGACATCGTAGCCCAACAGTGGATAGCAGCCGTCACTGCAGGACTCTTCCTGTATGTGGGGCTGGCTGACATGGTGAGTGTTTCACCAGACAATTCATCACCACCAAACAGTCTAAACCCATAAAACATGCATGTTGAACCACCGTCTGTTGTCTTTTTGCTTCCAGCTGCCCACTATGATCCACATCGACAGCGATAAACCCTGGCTGATGCTTCTGCTGCAGAACGTCGGCCTCCTGACCGGGTGGAGCATTCTGCTGCTGCTGTCGCTCTATGAAGGGAAAATAAACTTTTAATACGCGGACTGTCAAGATGTCACCCTGTTCACTGGGTTCATCTTCTGGGTGGTGATGGTAAAAACCTTTGGACTATTCACTGTGACATGACTGGGAGTTTATGGGCGTCAATGGGATCAGAAGGACGGAGTGAAAAGCTGAAGTCAGCTGATGTTGGCCAGATGTAGCCAGTTTCCACTAACGAAAGGTTAAAGAACCTGTCAGATGTGGGACTTATTCGTGGCAAGTGATTAAAATTTGCTGAGCCAGTGCAAGTGCCCTACATTTCTACAGACGTGGTTGCGTGACTGTGTTTAACCGGCGTGCAGTGGCCTCTCAGTGGTGGGCAAAAACACCAGAAACATCTCAGCATATAGTGCAGTTGACTACGATGAAGCCACCACCAGCAGCCTGCACATTTAAATTCACACCTCTGACTGTGTTTCTGTTAGATTTAGGATCCAATAAGGCTGCTGAGAATATGCTTTTTTTATCACTTTGTCTTTTTGACCATCACATGTCGTAGCAGATGCTGCTCACTTCCTACAGAGACATAAAAGTTACTCAACAGTGATAGTAGTAGTGAGATTAGAGGGGACGCCGCATTGTTAAAGTCCACAGTGACCCAGGAGTGGTAATAAAAGTGTTCAGGTTTGTTTCAGTTCAGGTTTTCTTCTACTTTAAAAAAAAAAACTGTGCTGATAGGTTTCTAATGATAAAAAAAAAGATCAAAATATCAGAATATGTTTTACGTTTGTTTGTTGCCCTTGAATTGTACAGTGTTGATCTTTTTGTGCTTTTTATGAAAGATAAGTTTTGTGAAATCAAACTTGTCAAATAGAAAGGAATATGATAGAAATATACTGACCCCCTTTAGTACCTATTGTGATAAAAAAACAAAAAACAAATGTAATGTGTCAGTAAATGTATTCACTGCTTTATTTTGTGTATTTAAGTGATGTTCCAACAATTAAAATATATCTTGAAACTCAATATGTGCTTGTCATGTTTATTTTCTAACTACACAGTTCCTGCAGTGGGCCTTCTCTGGAACATCTCTGTTATGTTTTGGATGAATATTAATTAGAATTTTGTGAGCTACTCACAAAAAAAAATCTGATTCATAAATGAGACAAGTCTTTAAATTGAGCATGTTTATGCTTTTCTGCAATGAAATACCCCCTGGATCAGAAACAACTGTTAGAGTTATTAGGTGCCCGGCTAGGACTGCGAGGTGGCTCAGTGGTTAGCACCGTTGCCTCGCAGAGAGAAGGTCGCCGGTTCGCGTCCCGGTGAGGACACCCAGGATCTTTCTGCATGGAGTCTCCATGTTCTCTCTGGGTTCTCCAGCTTCCTGGGAGTTTTTGGACCTCCCACAAGGTCCAGAAACATGTTGAGGTTAATTGGTGATTCTAAATTGTCCGTAGGTGTGAATGTTTGTGTGCTTGCTTGTCTGTCTCTAAGTGTGGCCCTGTGATAGACTGGTTACCTGTCCAGGTGAACCTGTCTTCACCCTGAGTCAACTGGGATAGACTCCAGCCCCCCACGACCCTATTGAGGATTAAGACTGTATAGATAATGGATGAATGGATGTTTGATGTCTTAAAAATGAGCTACGGGGAATGACTATTCCTCTGAGACGTGGCTCTATAGTTACTGTATCTGCTTGCTTGTAGATATTTCTTGGTACGACAGTATTTCTGCGTACAGACAGTATAGTTTTGTAACAGTTGTGTTTTTGCTGAAAAGAGAAAGCGAGCTGACAGAAAAAGGTCTGAGACTGAAGCACACAGTCATCTGCAGACATCTGAATGTGGGATGTGACCAACACAACGATGACCACGTGCTGTCCTCTCATTTCTCTGCTCATCTGACCACTCAGCTCAGTGTCCTGGACTTCCACCGCTCATTATCTCCACCTAATGACAGTCTTTCAGCCAAACACTGACTGGTAATTTCACCTGTTGAGTGTCAGCTGCATGTACACGTGTGTCTCAATAGTGATACTTCACGTCTTTTGTGTTTCATCCAGCTGCTTTCATTGGCTTCTCTCCTCCAGATGTTTCCTTTATTTCACTCAGTTACAGTCTAATCCTCGCTCCGCTGTGCTCTCCCCCTCACCTGTCTCCTCACTTTCTGTCTATTAACGCTACTGTAACAGATGAATTATGCCGTATAATGTACGAGAAGCTCAAAGGTCCCGTTTTAGAGGTAATTAAATTCAAGTGTTTTATTGGCATGGTAAGTTACTGGACTCGGCGGCCTCATAAATCCTCTTAAAACAGCCTGTAGACACTCAAAATTATGGATGCCAGTTTGGAAGGCTGACATCAGGGAACTCCAGGTTCCCTCTGTCAGCAGCTACGTGCTGTAATGCCTATAATTTGTATTTACAGCGCATGATTAACAGACTGGTATCTACACAACCTAATTGTTGACATGAAATGGGTCATTCTGTCTCAAGTTAAGATGCTTTGTCATGCCTGATGTCATACAAACGCAGTAAATGCATCATGTATGTGGAGATAAACAGCCTGCCTGCCTGTGTGTGTGATAAGCTGTCCGTGGACTCTGTCCCTAATGAAGCGCTCATATAACCTGCAGGTTAAGGGAGATTAGATGAGGAAGATAAAATCCAGCTCCCACTGCAGATGTGACCTATCTTTAGCACTACAAGACACAATCTGTGATCTGAAAGGAGGAGAAAAGTATAAAAACCAACACTGAAGGGGAAAAACGCAGAACTTCATTTCTGCCAATTTGGTCGACAGGTGTGAAGCTGCTAAAGCTTTGTTACGACCAGTTTGTAAATGGAGCACCTGAATATCTAAATATATTTAGGTT